CCTAAATAAAAGATACAATTTATGATGCAATGCAATTTAAAAAAAAAAAAAAATGGCAAAAACCAATGTGTATATGTGGAAGGGAAGTAAATTGGTAAACAAATTTAAAGCAGAAAATAAAAATTGTTTCTGTTTTGAAAATATCCCGAAAGTTTTACTACAAACGTTATAAATAAAACAATTTTCTATAAACAATCATTTTTTTTTTTTTGTTTTTTTGTTTATCCATCGTTTTCTGAACACTTTAATTAGAGCACATTAATAGGCAAAGAAGATTGATTAAAGAAGAAAGAGAGTTTTATAAAACCGTTTAGATCTACAGCTCATACGTGTTGTCTTTATAGTTTCGCAGTATTCGCAGGAGCGATCACATTTCACTTTATCTAGAGCAACTTTCCATGAATTTTCGTGATACAATGCCGTAAGATGTATCTTGTTTCCATAGAAAGGCACACCTTGCATGGGATAGAGCTAAAAAAAAAAGTAAAATTACATGATCAGGGATCTGGAACGGTTAATATCTATCTCAAGTTATGAGTATTCAGTTCAGTTCCTATTGTACAATATTAACAATTAGTATTTGTTGCCATATATAGGCTTACTTTTCATATGAATGGTTGGACGGGAAAGGGTTGCAGAAATTGCCCCATCTGATCGAAATCTTTTACAACAATTGAAAATGCCAAAATGCTATTAATGAACGACTTTTGCCGAGAAATGTGAAAATTGGAAAATAGATTGAATATAAAAATACATGGACAGGCATTAGACAGGTATTAGGACAGAGAGAACGACTGAGAGAAGATAAGCTTAAATCGATTCAGAAGATGAATATATTTAATAAAAGATGAGTCCATCTCACTGAGTGTTGCGCAAAATTCATTTAAACCTGAATATGCCTTATGTCGTAAACATTGTTTTCTTCTTATATATATACTGTAAGTAAATCATATTGTTAGCGAAGAACAATTAAAGTATGAAACAAATTATGAATGTCATCATATCAGCGAAAGTCTAATAATAGTGTCGAAAAGCAATTTATTGCATATTTCATGATTAAGATCACATCTAAGGAACTATGGCATGCATAACACATTTGATGTTTTTTTTTTTTTTTTTTTTTTTTTTTTTTTTTTTTTTTTTTTTTTTTTTTTTTTTTTTTTTTTTTTTTTTTTTTTTTTTTTTTTTTTTTTTTTTTTTTTTTTTTTTTTTTTTTTTTTTTTTTTTTTTTTTTTTTTTTTTTTTTTTTTTTTT